TCCCCAACAGACTCCACACTGTCATGGTAGAGCCTGTCAAACTCACAAACAGTAAGATCATGACCTGAGCCAAAATAAAGAGTCAGACACTTAACTGACTGAGCCACCAGGCATCCCTGGTATAATCTTATTATAGATCACCTACTAAAGAGCCATGTATGACTGAGTATTTTTTATTGAAAAGCTTTAGACTTTGTACATTTTCCAGTACTATGTAAATAGCATTTGCCTTATAGAAAAAAATCATTTTTATAAACAGACTGCATTCCTCTCAATACTATGATAAAAATCCCACAAATCTCAGAGATTAATATATGGGTAAAGAAAAGTCATCTACAGTTTTTTAGTCGAATATATTTTCATATAACATTGTGTAAATTTAAGGTGTTAAATCACATTTAGATATAAGTACTTTGTGATCAAATGACCTTTTATAGAAAATGTGTGCCACAAAATAGAAATTGTATACCAATTAGACAGCAAAGTAAAATTGATTACGAACACATTTTTAACACATTTCAACATGAATGACAATTTAAAGCCAAAAACAGCTTTTATTTTCTATTTTACACTAACTGTATGTCCCTCTGGTTTCTTTTTCTTTTTTAATGTTTGTTTATTTTTGAGAGAGAGAAAGAGTGCGAGTGGGGGAGGGACAGAGAGAGAAGGCAACACAAAATCCGAAGAAGGCTCTAAAATCTGAGCTGTCAGCAGAGTCCGACACAAGGCTCGAACCCACGGACTATGAGATCATGACCCGAGCCAAAGCTGGACACTTAACTGACTGAGCCACCCAGGCACCCCTCTGTGGTTTCTAGAAGATGAACAAAATGATGGGGTGCCTGAGTAGCTCAGTTGGTTGAGCCTCTGGCTCTGTTTCAGCTCAGGTCATGATCTCATGGTTCATGAGACTGAGCCCTGCATCGGGCTCCTCACTGGTGGTAGTGTGGAACCTGCTTGGAATTCCCTCTCTCCCACTCTGCCCCTCCCCCACGCATGTGCGCACACTCGTGCTCTCTCCCTCAAAACAAAGAAATAAACTTAAAAAAAAAAAGATGATTAAAATGATAATACACTTTTTTTTAAAGAAACAACACAGATCTCAAAATGTTACATAAGTAGCTGCAAGATGAACAGCTAGGGAGGGGAAAGTGGAAAGATGTTGTCAAAGGGTACAAAATTTCTGCAAGATGACTAAGTTCTGCAAATCTAATGTACAGAATGGGCTATAGTTAAGAATACACCTGAAACTTGTGAAAAATGTAGACCTTAAGTGCTCTCACTACACATTCAGACACGAAATAAAACAGTGAGGTGATGGATGTTAATTGGCTTGATCATGTTGATCATTTCACAATATATACGTCTACAAAAACATCAAGTTAAACACACACACCATATAATACAACTTTTGTCAAGTATACCTCAATAAAGCTGGGAAACAATGAACAGCTGGTATACCAATATATATAATACGTACATTGATACACAATACACATATTTGCAGCATCTCCCTTTTGGAATTTTAAATGAAAAAATTAAATATCAAATATCTGTTAGTAGTTATATTCACAGGCTTATTACCAGCTATGTGGAAGTACTATGTTAAATAAAACAAAAGAAAAACATTCTAAATTCTTGTTTGCAACTTTACCTATAGGAAAAAAAAAAACAAATCTAGAGGCCCCTGGGTGGCTCAGACTCTTGATTTCAGCTCAGGTCATGATCTCATGGGTTTGTGTGATAGAGGCCTGTGTTGGGCTCTACACTAACAGCATGGAGCCTGCTTGGGATTCTTTCCTCTCTCTCCTTCTGCCCCTCCCCTGCTTGCACACATGCTCTCTCGCTTGCTCCAAAAAAATTAAATTAAAAAAAAATTCAAATTTCCAGTGTTCAAAACTTTACATAACTTAGAAGACCAAAATACACCTTTCTCATCTTGAGGTTATGGTCAAGACCCTCCACAATTAAAGCAAAACCAGCCTTGCAAAATCACTGACAGTAACCAAATGATGGAAATCCAGTATATTATATTAAGTTCCAAGTTTTCTTTTAGTTTGTTCTTTAAGGGATCATTCTTGAATTCCAGTCAAAACAAGACTTTTAAAATGTTATTTAAAAAAAAATTTTTTTTTCAGGTTTATTCATTTTTCAGAGACAGAGTGTGAGAGGGGGAAGGGCAGAGAGAGAGGGAGACACAGAATCTGAAACAGGCTCCAGACTCTGAGCTATCAGCACAGAGCCCGACGTGGGGC